CTCATGACTCTGGGCTTGGGCTGGAGGTGATGGATGGTCAGGGATCTGCTCAGGGTCAGGCAGCGGCCCTGACATCCAGGTCTCTTCCCAGCAAGGAATTGAGGCAGGACGGCTGGTGGCGTTTAGAAGGCCCAGGCAGAGCTGTGGCCACCTGTTTTCCAGGATACAGCCGCTGGCCCGGGCTGGGGCCCCTCAGCTGGGTCCTGCTCTGCATCAGGATTCCTGGTCGTGCAGGGGCTTTGGTTTTGAGCTCTGAGAATAGAGCCTGGCAGGAAATGGCCTCTGGCTGACAGAGGTTGAAATGGTGCGATGGTGGTGGGCTGGTGGTCACAGAGTTGCACGGCAGCCAGAGGGCTAGAGTTGGGAGGGGCAGAGGCCAAGAGCCCTGAAGCCCAGCATGGGCTGGGGCAGGAGCAGAGGCTCAGGACACTGCTGCTGATCGCCCCCCTGTTCCAGTTCTGAGTTCCAGGAAGGGGCCCTGCTGTCCTTTCTAAGGCTAGGCGTGTTTAATCTTCCAGGCTGTGTGCTGGGGGGGAAGAAACACTAAGATGTGTTCTTGGGAAGATGTAAAGGATCCTGGATCCCATTTACAGCCCTTTGCCCTCTTCCTTTCTCACCCCTTGGAGACCCTGAGTGCTGGGGGAAGAGGCTCTGTTGCGGGGAGCAGGATGCTGGTGCCCAGCTCTCAGCTCTTGGCTTCTGCTCTTGCAGGTGCTGGGAGCCCTGTTCCTGGCCATCGGCCTCTGGGCCTGGGGTGAGAAGGTGAGGAGGTGGGGTAGGGCGTGGGGCTGCTGCAGGTCAAAATGATGGGAGGATCAGCACCCCAACTTGTCTCTGCTCCCCCGACACAGGGCGTTCTCTCCAACATCTCGGCGCTGACAGATCTGGGAGGCCTTGACCCCGTGTGGCTGTTTGTAGTGGTTGGAGGCATCATGTCGGTGCTGGGTTTCGCTGGCTGCATCGGGGCCCTCCGGGAGAACACCTTCCTGCTCAAGTTTGTGAGTGCGCCCCCCCCAGACCCACTGGGGACCCCAACTTTCTCCCACCCACTTCTTACATATATTTTTGTGCTTAATAATGGGTAGTTTTATTACGTTATAATAATAGATTCGTATTATCTATCCATATATAGGATCCTTTCTGTTGAAAATGACTGAAAACGAGTGGCCCGAGCATAAAAGGGTATTTATTGGTTCACTAAGAGCAGCCCAGGGGTGTGCTGGCTGCTGGCACGTTGGGGTCCAGGGACCACCACAGTGTCGCTTGGCCTGGCCTCTGTTTCTTGGCTCTGTTCTCCTCGGTTAGCTCCATTCCCCATGGGGTTGAAGGATGCCCAGGATTTGTGGGTCCCGGCCTCACGCTGCCCGCGCTGCCATCGGTGGAACTCCGACTCCTACTGGAGGCGGAGGCTCTTCTCAACTATTCTGTCAAGTCCTTTAATTGCATCTCCGTGATTCTGATTGGCTGTGTGGACCAATCCCGGGGAGGTAGCCCTCTGATTGGTGAGCTGTTGGCACATGCGCAGTCCTCTAGCTGGGAATGGGGAAAAGTGATGGCTGCAGCCCAGCCACAGAAACTGAAGGTTTGTGGGAAGGGTGGTTCCTCAAAAACAAAACAAAACAAAACAGGTGATTACCGGGGAAGCGGAATGGATGGGTCAGTAAGGCCAGCACTGTCTTCACATCATAAAGCAACACGAACAGGATGGAAGGTGGGGACTCTGGGCTGTGTTGGATCCCGTGGCACCCACCAGGCCCTGCGTCTCCGACCCCCACCATCTGTATGTGCCCACCCCCAGTTCTCAGTGTTCCTTGGCCTCATCTTCTTCCTGGAGCTCGCGACAGGGATCCTGGTCTTCGTCTTCAAGGACTGGATACGAGACCAGCTCAACCTCTTCATCAACAACAACGTCAAGGCCTATCGGGACGACATTGACCTCCAGAACCTCATTGACTTTGCTCAGGAATATGTGAGTCCAGCGTCCAGCTCGGGCCCGCCACCTGCAGGAGGCACCTGCTGGGCAGATGAGTGGGAGCAAGTTCCCTGTGTGCTGGGACCACCCCCGCGCCCTGTGCGTCCCCCTGTGCCTGGTCCTGCAGGGAAACAGGGTTGGAGAATAGAGGCCAGAGGCTCCAAACTGGCAGCTCCTAGGCTAGGCTTACACCACGCTTACAGTAGGGATAAAAATATAGATTCCCCTTCTAGGAAACCCTGGGCCCGCAGTATCGGCTGGGGCTCATTGTTGCTCCCCTTGGCTGATACAGGGGCTCTCTATTTGCCACTGTCCCTGACACTCTGTATTTTATTATGCCTGTCGGTCCTCTTCTCTCATTTGTATTACTTATTTGGCCTCTGACCATATTAGAGTTTGAGACTCTATACAGAAGCCCTGCCCTCAAGCTTGTACACCTACCCCTGTGAAGACGTAGTGAGTGAACAGTTCACGAAATCCTAGACACCTCACACCTACAAGTTCTCGCCCGCTCACAGTGATACCCAGCCACACCCACTTACACAGTCATCCTCGTTCGGTGCTGTCCACATAGTCTGCTCTGGGATGCAGAGATGAACCGGAGCTGGTGTCTGCCTTGAGGTGCTCTCAACCCAGGGCTAGGCAGACAGGTAGCCAGGCGGTTAGGGTGTGGTTTGTTTGTTCATTCAGCATGGAATTATCATGTGCCAGGCCCTGGGCTGGTGCTGGGGATTCTGGGGTGAAAAAAGTGGGGACCTGTCCTCGTGGGGATGGCAATCTGGGTGGAGAGATGGAGGATGAATAAGCAAAGCAAAGCAAACAAACAAATGTGTGTGTGTGTGTGTGTGTGTGTGTGTGTGTGTGTGTGTAAAATTATAAATTGTGGTAAGGGTTGAAATGGGGAAGGGTGGAGGGGAAGGCCTCTGGGGGGTGACATTGGAGGAAGAGAGGGGCCAGGGATGTGAGGAGAGGCGAGTGTTCCCCAGCAGGAGCAGAAGGAGAGGGGGCAGGCGGAGGCCAGGCTGTGCCCACACTTGCCATTGACTCACCTAGGGAGGCAGCCCACGATGTTCTGGGCAGGGGAGAAGGGGCTCTGGTGCTGGCAACAGCATTTATGAAGTGCAACAGGAGGGTTAGGAGTGGCAGGGTTGCCCTCCTGCCCTTGTAGAGAGGAAGATCTCTGGGCGAGTATGGGGAGACTGGCATAGATGTATTTAGTGGAGCCTCTCCCCACAGGGCTTGGCCCAGCACCCATTCTCGGGGTGTCCTGCAGGAAGTCTCAGTTCTTGGGCCAACATCCTTGCCCCATCCCTTCCTGTTTTTTTTTTTTTTTCTAAATCCTTACTCACCTGAGGACAGGGAGAGAGAGAGAGAGAGAGAGAGAGAAACATCCATCTATTGGTTGATCTATTGGTTGCTTTCCATATGTGTCCCGACTGGAGATTGAACCGAAACGCAGGTATGTGCCCTAAACAGGAAATGAACCAGCAACCTTTTGATGCAAAGGACGACGCTCAACCAATGGAGCCATTCGGCCGTGCTCCCTTCCTTTTTCAGCCTCTCTTGGGTTAGGGGGACAGGCTCCCACTATTTCCTGCTCCCACCAACGTGAGCAGGAGCCTGGAGCTGCTCTGATGACCCTGGGCCCTGGCCTGTCTGCTGGGAGGGCGTGGGGAGGTGCCTCTACACTCCTTCCCAGCCTCGCCCTGTCTCTCTACAGCCTTGGTCTGCTCCCAAACAGGGTGGATCTGGCTTACCTGGGTCTTTCCCCCTCCGCTCCCCCTCTAGTGGTCTTGCTGCGGAGCCCGAGGGCCCAACGACTGGAACCTCAATATCTATTTCAACTGCACTGACTTGAACCCGAGCCGGGAGCGCTGCGGGGTGCCCTTCTCCTGCTGCGTTAGGGACCCTGCGGTGAGTGGGCCCTGATGAGGGGCAGGGCGGCGGGCATTGCTGAGTGCAGGCCCAGCCTGGGAAAAACCCACACAGGGCTAGCTCGGCCCCACCCTGGGGGCTGTGGCTGTAGGGAGGAGGTCATTTTATATGAGCCACCCCTTCCAGGCTGGGGACTCTGTGTCCGTGGCCAGCACCGAGCCCTGCTGGAGTGGGGGCTGTGCCTCTTCAGCAAAACCTGTCTCTGATCATAGTGAGATGGCAGTTGCAGGCCCTTGGGCACGGCCTGCCCCATCGAGCTCCAGGCACCCTGTGCTTCCAGTTGAATGCAGCCCAGGTTGTCTGGGGAGCGGGGGCTGGGTCACTCCCTCAGTCATGGGTGTGTCAGGGCCCCCTAGGCTGCAGCCAGCCACCATACCCCTGGGCCACCATACTGGGGTGGCAGGGATGGGGGTTCTGATCCCTTTAAGGCTATCTTCAGAGCAGAAACTTCTCACAGGGACATCTCTGTAGTCACAGTTCACCTGGGACACTGAGGGCCAGGATTCTTCCCATTCTTGTCAAACACGAGCAGGCAGGGTTCCTAAGCAGGAGAGAGCCCAACCTGGCAGGTGCAGCTGTGCGTCCTGGCGTCGGGCAGAGGCACACGGGCCTCAGCGAGCCTCTGGATGCGGCCGAATCCATGTCCATCTGCTTCCCCTGGAAGCAAGAACCGTTGCAGTGCTGGGTGCCATGGGCCTGGGGGCCCCCTCACAGGTGGCTCATTGGCCTCTTTCTCCTCAGGAAGATGTTCTCAACACCCAGTGTGGCTACGATATCCGGCTCAAACTGGTGAGACGGGCTGGGACCGGGCTGGGGCACGGGGATGGGAAGGGGCACCCATAAGCTCCTCTGAAGGGCCTCAGGGATCTGAGGGGAGGGGCACTGAGTCCTAAGAACCATCCAGGCCTTGGTGCTGCCAAACATGGGAGCAGTAGACCTGTGGGCACGGGCACAGGCGCATTTGCTCATTCCAACTCTGAGCGCCCACTGGTGCCGAGTTTTGCCCTGGACACGGGACGCATGCTCCTGAGACAGATGGAGTCCGGCTCTCACGGAGCTCCCACTGCAGGGGAGGGAGAGACAGGAAGCTCACTGATGCAGAAATGTGAATAGTAATGTGACAATTTCAGCTAAGAGCTTGGAAGAAAATAAAATAAGGTGATGGGAGTGGGGCTGGGCAGTCAGAACATGCCTCTCAGAAGAGTGGGTGTCTGTGCTGAGACCCCGATGATGAGAAGGAGCCAGCCACGCCAAGGCCTGTGGCAGAGCTCCAGGGGGCAGGCACGGAGGCCTGAGGCCCTGGGCGGGGTGGGGGTGGGGTGGGATGAGATGAAGCGTGGGGGCGCGGACTGAGCCCACACCTGTGTGCCCCCAGGAGCTGGAGCAGCAGGGCTCCATCCACACGAAAGGCTGTGTGGGCCAGTTTGAGAAGTGGCTGCAGGACAACCTGATCATCGTGGCCGGCGTCTTCGTGGGCATCGCCCTCCTGCAGGTACTATGGAGGCTTCTCATCCTGCCCCACTCCTTTACCCCGGGCCCCCCACCCTGCCGACGGCCTGTCCCTCACCCACTCTCCCTCTGAACAGATCTTTGGCATCTGCCTGGCCCAGAACCTCGTGAGTGACATCAAGGCAGTGAAGGCCAACTGGTGAGGCTGCCACGTTGGCCACGCCACCCGCCTGGCCTACCCAGGGACCTGCCACTGCGCCGTGATGGGCACAGCTGCAGGGGGCATTTCTGCTTGGACCTGAGCCCCACGTGGGGCTCGTGTGTGGGCGTGCTGTGTGCCCACAGAGAAGCCGCATGACTCTGCCCGTTCTGGACTTGTGTGCATGGAGGGTGTGTGTGTCAGTGTGGGTGTGCACAGGGAGCCGCTGCCTCTGTGTTGTTGCGTGGCAGGCTCCCCGGGGGACGAGGAAGGGCGCAGGCTGGGACACTCCTCTCTGCATGGTGGTGCGGGGCGGGCGCTGGGGCCTGCTGTTGCCTGGGATACGGCCCCACGCAGCTCCAGAGCTCTCTTCTCTATTGGCTGTGACCTTGACCCTTCCGGGATCCCACTTGAGCCTCAAGGTCTCAGACTCTAAAGTGAGTCCAAGAATTTTCTCTCCCTTGCTTGCCTCTCAGGATCAAACATGATGATGGCTGCAAACTACTTAAATAAACAAAACCTTGAAAACCACTGGCTTACGCCCACCATCTGGTTCTGTCAGCTGCAGAGCCCTGGCCCGGACCCACCCTGCCCTGTTTTCTCCGACGTGGGTCATGCATACACTTGAGCTGAACTTTAAAACTTGGTATCGTTCACATAAAAGTGTATTTCACTGACCCCCGGCTTCTCAGGAAGAAGGCCATCTGGCTGCAGCAACTCTCTAGTGGCAATGTCTCTTGGGGCAACACTCCCCATTCTCTGAGGCCCTGCCTGGCCCATTCTGCTTGATCGGCTCTGCCCTGCGGACCCTGTAGGCTGGGAGTTGCCTTCCCTCCTCTGTAGGGGCACCCCTGCCAGCACTGCTGTGGCCAAGCCTGGAGGGAAGCGCAGGGATGTGAAGAACGGAGGCTGGACTCTGCCTTGAAGAGGCCAGGGAAGGGGGGCTGACCCGGCCGGGGACTGAAATGGTTGCCAGTGGGCCCAGGAAGGATGTTGAGGGGTGGATGGAGGTCAGGAAGGTTTTGGGAAGGAAGTCGCCGGAAGCCCAGAGCTGGGGGTGGGGAGCCTAGTTGGGGGACTCCTGGGCACACAATCTGGAATGAAGTTCAAAATCTTCCTGGTGGCCTGTAGAGCTGCCTTATGGCCACCAGAGGGCGCCCCAGTACAGCATTCTCTGCATCTGGCTTTTCTCTGGCAACCTCACCAAGTACAGCCAAGTGCCTGGTGAGTCCTCCCCGCTTACTAGTGCTCCGGGGGTTCAGGGAACTGGGAAACTTCAAAAGGAGCGAACTGGGGAAGTCTGGCTGTTCTCAGCTCCGCCTCTTATCAGCCCCATGAAGGGGTGGGTGTGGAGTGACTGCCATACCCCTCCCTGGCTGCCTGCTCTTTGTGGCTGGTTCCCAGATCTCACACGCAGCTGTCCCGAGGGCCGGGTAGGTCATACTATAGGCGAATGAAGTGAGGCCTTTGAGTGGCGAGGCCTTTGCTGTGCTGCTCTGACTTTCCCATTGTTACTGAAGACGGGACACAGAGAAACATCGCTTTGTGACAAGGGAAATACATACAGGGGTGGGCAAAAGCAGGTTTACAGTTGTGCGTGCGAAAGTTTATTTTTGTATTATTTATTAATTGTATTATTTTCCATAAGAACAACTTTAAACCTACTTCTGCCCACATCTGTATTTGTACAATCAAGGTGATGATGGCAACTGGCCTGAGAGACAATAGGGTGTGGTGGGGCCTATGGCAAAGCAGATCCCCGTCTCAAGTTGGAGGCTGTCATGAAGTTGCAGCTAATTGCTATAAAGTGAGAAAGCAGGTCTAGTGTTAGTAATCTGGAGAAGCCAGAAGTCCAGATTTTTATGAAAAATATTTTGGGTTTTAAGTTCTTGGCAACTAATGAAAAAAAATTAACCTGTGAGCTAAACTGCAGGTGTGGGGCCAGCTTTGGCCCCTGTGCCCTGCCATTCAGGGGTGCTGGGAGTCGCTGCCAAGTGAGCAGGGGTGGGCGTGCACCCGGCATCGTGTCCTGGGTCCCTGACAGGCGCCGGTTGCAGGCGGTTGGTGGACGCTACAATAAATTCACTCACAGTCTTGTGCGTTTGTCTTGTGTCTTTCATTTCAAACGCTTTCACTTTCAATCCCCTCCCAAACCTCACCACCCCTGTGTGAGGTGGAGATGCTCTTCCTGATGAAGCCAGCGCAGAGAGGGGAGGGAGCTGCCAGCACAGCTGGAGGAGGCACTCGGCGCCGACCCTTGTCACTGGAGTTTTGCCCCGTCTCGTCCTGCCTGTCTGACATCGCAGGAGGAAGCCTGCACACTCAGTGCCCACCAGTAACGCGCAGTAGGTGTCATTCCCCAAGCATGATCGAACCTCCACTAAGTGCTGGGGATGTAGGGGAAGAAGACCAGGGTCCTGGGCAAGGGAGCATTTGTGTTAATAACAATGCATGGCCCTCGCTGGCTTGGCTCAGTGGATAGAGCGTCAGCCTGCAGACTAAAGGGTCCCAGGTTCAACTCTGTCAGGGGCACGTGCCCAGATTGCGGGCTCGATCCCTAGTAGGGGGCGTGCAGGAGGCAGCCGACCAGTGATTCCCTCTCATCATTGATGTTTCTATCTCTCCCTTTTCCTTCCTCTCTGAAATCAATAAAAATATATTTAAAAAATAATATATGCATGAAAAGTAAGAGGGATGGGCTAGACCAGTGATGGCGAACCTTTTGAGCTCGGCGTGTCAGCATTTTGAAAAACCCTAACTTAACTCTGGTGCCGTGTCACATATAGAAATTTTTTGATATTTGCAACCATAGTAAAACAAAGATTTATATTTTTGATATTTATTTTATATATTTAAATGCCATTTCACAAAGAAAAATCAACCAAAAAAATGAGTTCGCGTGTCACCTCTGACACACGTGTCATAGGTTCGCCATCACTGGGCTAGGCAGTGACAGCTGGGGTGTCTGGAGAAGGGGCCCCTTTGAAGGGGTGGCTGGAGGAGAGGGTGCCATCTCTGGGAAGCACCAGAAGAACAGTGTTCCAGGTTTCAGTGTCAGCTGCCCAGGAGGCCCTGAAGCCGGAGTGGGCTCAGCACGAGGAAGCTGGGGTGCTGGAGAGGTGGGAGTGGGTGAGGGACAGAGGGCACAGGCAGGGAGATGGTGGAAACAGGCTATATTTGGAAATGGGACTGGTGAAATGGGCAAAGACTGGTAGGAGTGAGCATGACCCTGGCTGGGGACCCAGAGTTCTCCAAAGATCAGTCCTGCCACAGGACACCCACCCACTCATCCATTCAACCACCCACCCACTCAGGTGGGCTCCAGCCGACGGAGAAGGTCGCACTGGCCCTTGCCTTCCCGGCTCACAGTCTCTTGGCAGAGGCAGACGAGCAGCTGCTAGTGGTGCAACGTGTACGTGGTGACGAGCACGTGATCACTGCTAGGTGGCGTATCACGCTGGTTAGAGACAAATTCCTGCCCCCACGGTAGAACTTAGAGCAGGTCTTTCCCTCGCACCGAGGAGTGCTAACTCAGGCGGGACCTTCCCAGATGTGTAGAAAACAAGGGAGCGTGTGAGGCTGCCCCCTGCCCATCCTGCCATGCGGACCAAGGTGACCTTCCCACCCTCCGTCAGGGCGGGGTGCACACCGGAGGTGACAGGTGGCCATCGTCTGGCAGCCTGGGGGTGCCCCAGGAGCCCGGGTCTGCCTAGCCTGACCAGAGGAGGGGCTTCCAGCTGGGCGGGAAGGCATCTGTGACCCTGGCTGCCTCAGAGGGAGGGCCAGAGGGGAACCAGAAGGAACAGAGAGAGCTCGGGCTGACGAGCCTTGGATCTGCTGATGGCCTAGGGAGGTCGGGCCAAGGCCCCCTCCCAGAGGAAAGCCAGCGAGGCTAAGGCAGCGCATGCCTTAGGGGAGCCACTCCCGGTGACCACCAGAGGGCACAAAAGCTCAGCCCACGCAGCTGCGGGATCCCAGGGCAGGCAGGGGCTGCGAGTGCCGAGTTCAGTGAGGGGAGCCTCTGTGACTAAGGCCATACCACCTTTTCAGTGACCTGGTGGTCCATCCTATTGCCAAATCCAGGCCTTGCCACCCTCTGCATTGTCCACTCCAGGGACAAACAACACTGCCCCCACTTTCCCCGCCTCTCCCAGGGCTCAGGAAGACATGAGCCCACCTTCGGGCCCTCGTAGGTGGTGGTGTCTGCCAGACAGAGTGGGGCTCATTTTCCCTAGGAGGCTGAAGCAACATGCTCCACCACCTACACTTCCATTCACTCCTTCAGCCAGACGTACTGAGCACCTACTATGTGCCAGACACTGCTGTCGGCACTTGGGATCCATAAGAGAATAAAAGAAGACCCACCGCATGGTGCTCACAGTCCGGACTGGGGTCAGCAGCCTTTGTCTGCAAAGGACAAAGAGTAAATATTTTAGGCTTTTGGGCCACTCAGCTCTGCCTTTACAGCAGAAAGCCACTCTCAAGACAAATGGGCGTGGCAATGTTACAATAAAATTCTCTGGACACTAAAATTAGAATGCCATATAATTTTCATGTGTCACAAAATATTACACCTCTTGATTTTCAATGGTTAAAAACACAAAACCGCCCTGACCAGTGGCTCAATGGTTAGAGCATTGGCCAGGGCACCTAAGGGTCACAGTTTTAATCCCTGGCCCTGGTCGGGGATCGTGCGAGAGGCAACCAACGGATGTGTCTCTCTGACGTTGATGTTTCTCCCCCACTCCCTCCCTTCCACTCTCTCTAAAAAATCAATGGAAAAAATATCCTTGGGGGTGGATTAACCACAACAACAGAAAACAAAAATAAAAACAAAAAACAAAACCAAACACAAAACCATCCTTAGCCCTTGAGCTATATAAAAACAGGTAGTGGGCTGGATTCACCTCTCGGTCTGGGGTTGCCGGCCCCCAACCTAGGAAGGGAGACAACACCAGTGAATCTTTTTTTTTTTAGAGTTTAGTAAGCTTCTTCTAATGGCAAAGACCTGCAAATGCTTTTAGCTGGTGAACTTTATCACTTACAAGATTTTTTTTACTTTATTGATTAAGGTATTACATATGTGTCCTTATCCCCCCATTGCCGCCCCTGCCCCCAACACCAGTGAATCCTGTAATGAGTCACTCACCCGGGAGAGAGTGTGAGTGCCATGGAGATAGCAGAGCGGGTATGGGCCGGCAATGTGGGGGCGGGGCAGGTCTCGGTATTAGTGGGGCCTTTTGAATTATTTTGGTAGCATGGGTAACTGGGAACCCAGCCCATATTAAAAATGGAAGAAACTCAGGTCCCCTTACCACCCCGTTCTGTTCCCCTCCTCTGCCTCCCGGGTGTCATCATAGCTTTTGGACCTTTCCCATTTTTGTATGCATATCATGTATCCACAGAAGATGGATGCTCAGTGTCGTTTTGTTTGTTTGTTTATTTATTTATTTTTAATATATTTTATTGATTTTTTTCTTTTTTTTTTTACAGAGGAACATCGATGAGAGAGAAACATCCATAAGTGCCTC